AATGGGGGGGGGTCACCCCCCCCCCCCCCCACCCCCGTAGCTCCGGGCCTGCGCGTAGCGGAGTGTTTTATATGTGATAAAACACGACTACAAGTGCTTTAATTGGCTTCAAAAACGACTCATCTTATACGAGTTCATTGGCGAAGTAATTTTTAAAATAAACTTTGTCTCAACCAGGAAAATCAATGCTAAAGTTTATGTAAATTAACGTGATTTTTTATCACATATAAAAACACGACACGCTTATGATTTTTCTTTGTTTTTTCCTCCTGTGTTATTAATGAGTTTTTGAACAATATTTTAATTTGATCGTTTATCACAATAATGATATCTTCATTTACATAATTAGCTATAATTGTGAAACTCGTTTACCATTGATAACAAGTATTTGAATGATATCAATGTTTACTGAGGTATAATACAATGCAAAATCTCTTGATTTGCATAAACATCCCCCTCTATTTACTTAGTAGATCATCATCACATTTTTCAGTCAATGTATTAAAAAACAAAACTGCAAAAAACGCACAAAGAAAATTGCTGAATTTATTGAACTTCACCAGCGAAATAACATCATTTGCCTCCATTTTGTAACACACCTCCAATCTTTGCCCAGAATTTGTGTGTCGGATATAACCTCGCGCCTCACGCTGTAAATATTACTTATTTTAGTTCACATTCGGATGTTATGAATGTCTGAATGGTGAAAAGTTGATCTGGGATCCAGTGAGATCACTTGGACGTAAATGTCGGGAAAGTAATTATGTCAGGCAAATTAGTGAAAAGTGTAAGTACTAGTATATAAAATACAATCGGGAATTTTATCTAAAATAGCGAAGAATTTTATCTTTAAATAGCGTAGAATTTTATCTTTAAATAGCGTAGGAAAGAGGAATTTTGATCAGGTAAAGCAGCGGGGCTCCACCGCCGTCAGGGTGTCGGGATCACGTCCCATTTTTATTTTATTAATTTTTGTTTTAAAGCCACTCGATTAATGGGCATATGATATTACTGGGGGAAAGGATGTATTGTAAAACCCAAATTATGATGATATCGGCTGCAAACTGAGTCATGTACCAGAAAGCCTAAAAGCTGTTGTTCTAACCATTTGTATAGCACATACGTCAAGGGACTGTTTTTTAAATCTTTCTGTTTGGAATTTAAAATTACCATAATTCGATCAGGTTGCTCTTTTTGGCCGCACACCATTTTTTCTGGGAGCAAATAATGTTGAAGAAGCTCCACTGACGACATTCGACGGTTATTCTTCTTCCATTGGTAATCTCCGTTTGCTTATCTAGGTCCTTTGGCATTACATTTTCATGGTGATAACGCATTGCAACATGGCATATCCAGAGGATCTCCACAGGAATTGACGTCGATCACTGCGTGTTTTTGGATGTCCGTTCCTGAAGCGTATGTCAACAATCATCGTGCCAATTTCGTGTCTTATGCTTCGTCCGAATCCACAAACGATTTTCTGTTAGCATTACGACCAAAACTGGACTTGCTGATGAAAAGTAAAGCCTTTAAGTATGACCTTCAATCTTTGCTTTCGCATTAAATGTGTCAGTGATTAACTAATGAGATCACACCACTATAGGTGCATCTATGAAACGAACTCCAATGATATTAGCTTATGCGGCAAAAGAGTGAATTTCTTCTTTTTTATTTAGTTTTTATTATTATTATTTTATTATTATGTATTAATTTCCCACAAAATATTTACAAACAGCAAAAATCACTACAATTGTATAATGGGCTAGGGACCTTTGGAAGTCCAGTTGGGCCACGGGCAATAGGACAGGTGTAGTGTTGTTAAATAAAAAGTTAGAAATGGTATTGTACTTACCCATGTATTATAATTATGTTTAGAAGATCAGAATATTCGTAAATTCTTATTTTGTTTCATAAATAGTTCTTTAATATTCGAAACAAATTCCACATCTACTTTGTCTGCCATCGCCATGTTTACTCGTCCCAATCTACATACTACACGGCATTGCCGCCCCTCCTGGCAAAATAATAAGCAAGCGAGAAAAATTAAGGAGAAAATAAGAGGGTAGGAACACCGTTGTCATAAGCTGGATGCAGTGACACTTCCATATATGGCACAAACGTATCCATAACTTCCATATATGGCACAAACGTATCCACGACGCGTTTTATAACGTTTTATTTGACGTAGGGATGACGTGTAATGCTGCTTCCCGCCTATGACGATTTGAATTAGTCATGTGATACAAGATTGAGAAAGCTGATTCGCCCAGAGCGATGAAACGCCCACGAAACGCCCACAGTGTTCCTACCCTCTTATTTCTCCTTAATTTTTCTCGCTTGCTTATTATTTTACCAGGAGGGGCGGCAATGCCGTGCAGCATGTAGATTGGGACGAGTAAACATGGCGATGGCAGACGAAGCAGATATGGAATTTGTTTCGAATATTAAAGAACTATTTATGAAACAAAATAAGAAGTTATGAATATTCTCATCTTTTAAACATAATTATAATACATGAGTAAGTACAATTATACCATTTCTAACTTTCTATTTAACAACACTACACCTGTCCTATTGCCCGTGCTTAATCTGTGTCTCGACCCTCGACTTTTAGATACACTCAAATATTGCGACCATAAAGATGGCGACGAGGCAGAGGCGACGAGGTAACGAGTAAATATCGAAGAAGCTCCGATGATCCGATCCACGGGCCGAAAATTCGCCGAACATCTATTTACATTTTTCGAAACATTTTGCATGTAAAAGTTGTCAAAAATCATTTCCTCAACATTTAGTTTTTTGTTGCAGGATTTAGTATAGTAACTGAAGTTGCGTGAATTTTGGTTGTTGACGTATGATAGGTTAATGAGTGTCGAAGAAGGTCGAGTAAAGATTTTAAATTTAGCTGCTGAGGTAGCTGAAACTGAAGACTACAATGTTCCCATACGACTAAAACAATTGCAAGGTATTTCAGATTTTCAGAACGTGTCATAAACTCATAATTTGATAATTGAGTTGCCATGTGGCGATATTCGTTGGTTATTCTCAGGTAGGACTGCCTATAATGATTAATGTACAGTATATTTATATTTTTTAGAATCAGCCATGCCATTCCATCCCTGGGACACCCCCGGGCATTTGCACATATTTTTTTCTTTAGGCGCACACTTCCCAGGGCTGAGCAGAAAATCGAGACTACATTTAATAGCAATTTAACTAGAAATACATGCATGTAACCATGCTGACGCCATGGTTATAGCCAGTGCGCGTTTGAGAGGCATTCACCCCCCTGATAATATTCAAAATGACGGATGTCCAGGGGGGAATGTCTCCCATAAGCACACTGGCTAGGACCATGGCGTCAGCATGCATTTTCATGATGAATCATGGTGTGGCAGCAGTTACTTGAGTCGACCTTCTGTATGTCTTTATTCTGTGATGGCGTATCGATATTATCACACAAGCGACACTTGCTAGAAGATGGCGATTGTGGGACAATATTTTTTACTGAAGTTACAGATCTGTTCATACCATTGAAATGAATATAACTGGAATGCTACCTCCAACCTAAAATTGGAAGCCAAACTTGAAAGCCAGTCTCAGTCTTTTCACATATGTCTGGGGGTCAAGATTTGACTTCAAGAAAAAGATAGGCAGTTTATCTGAAGGTAGCATTCCAGTTATATTCATTTCAACGGTTCATACCTACGTGAAAAAGTGAAAAAAAATCTTGGCAATGTGAGCAAAAAAATTCAAGATAACTGTTTTTTTTTACAAAAACCATAGTAGCCCAACAAGTAGGTATTTGATAAAGGAAAACCACATGAAAATAAAAGTCTCCCCAGTTTCCCGATATTTAGACCATGCGCTTCCACACACCACCAAGCGACGTATCATGCAGTAGTGCGGTGGTATGCGGAAGCACGCAATCTAAATATAGGGAGACTGGGGAGACTTTTATTTTTATGTGGTTTTACCTTTTGAATATCAAACACCTAATTGTCAAGCTACATAGGTACACAGAGTAGAGACATACAGAGACGTAACTAGTGTACCCACTTTTTTTGTGCGCATGCTCGGCAAGTTACTAGATGCATGCATCTGATTGGATGACGACCTGATGACGACTCACTTTAAACTTGCTGAGCACGCGCAGTTGATCATTTTTTGCCCGGTCGCATGAAAAAAAGTGGGTACATGATAACGTAATCTTCCGCAGTGTTTACAACGGTCAGTTACGTCTCTGTATGTCTTATCTACTCTGTGATAGGTAGCATAGTTTTGCTTCAAATTTCCGATAGCATTCCAGTTATATTAGTTTCAATGCCACCCATACACCCATGAACCATAGTCAGACGCCCACAATTATTGATGAAATTTAGACTTCGCTAACGCTTTCCTTTCCCCGGGTGTAAATAGCTGAGCGGAAAAACCCTGTAAAAAACATGAAAAACTGCAAAAAAATTAAACTTTAACTACAGAACTATCAATTTCTAAAATACGGTATATAAAGTAGGTACTGTATCTTATTTTGCATTCTATGGGATTTATTTTAATTAATGTAAAATTCAACACAAAACTCTTCATAAAATATTTTTACAGTAAATGTTCATTGAAATTAATGAACAATTTGCTGATAAACTCTCAATTATTAATTATTAATTATTACTTATACTTTGAAATTAAACAAACTTAAATCATACAGCCGGAAGCTAATGAAAAAATTTAAACAAGTTAATTTTTTGCACTTGATGAATAGGAAAGCTGTTTATGTTTAGGCAAAACGTGGAAAACAAACTCGCCCTGTACTTTAGGATTTCTCATAATCAATTTTTAATGTTTACGTTTAATTATTAAAAATTGAAAAAAAATGTTTTACAATTATTGTGCAAAACTATTTTCCAAGCTTTCTTACATGTATGACAAGCCATTTCGGAAAAAAGGTGGTTGAGATTAAAAAAGTTGGATGCTGAGTTAGCAAACGTACATCGAGAAACACATGTTTTGTCGAGTTTTAACAAATGATAGGTGAGTTTAGCAAAAGTACTGCGAGAAAAGAAAATTGTGGACCGAGATAATCAAAAAGCAAAAACCCACTTGAGATATTTTGTTGGACGAAAAACTCGGTTGATAATAATTTTTTTTAAAAAACTCGATCGAGAAATATACAAAAAAAAATCGGTCGAGAATTATACAAGAAAAAAAGTTGGTTGAGAAATTTGCATGAAGATAAAACAAAAATAATTTTCAAAAGATATCAAAGATGGTTGCGAAGATATTGTAACTTTCTTTTTGTCATTAAAAATATATATTGCTCTGTCATCCTTTATTCACGAGGTCGAGGTCGAAGATGGAAATATGAGAGAATATTTAAGTATGAAGTTGGAGGACCATTTTCAGGTAGTCATTGCATTACAATGAGTAATTCAGTCAAGAATTGGTCATGATGAATTGAAGGGTTTATTTGAGAATTTAGTCGGTGCATGCATTGCATACCGGTAGTCTTCTTGACAAAGTACGGCTGCAAAACAGGCAACACGAACAAGCTCGAACAAGTTTATAGTCTCGCAATTACGACACACCGGAGAAAGACCTACTCACTACTGTAAATATATAATTACCGAAGAACAGATAAAGGCTTTAAGAGATACTGTAATGAATAGGCAATTCCAGCTTTTAGTTTATGCGTGCAGGGGACGATGGGAAGTAAGGTATCACATTGCTGATTATGCTGAAAAATTAGAAATGGTGGTCGTGTAAACACGGAGTGATAGCTTATACTTGTAAAAATTGAAATATTTCGGTTGTTTCGGTAGTTTTTATTGAAATTTTTCAGCATAATCAGCACTATGATACCTTACTTCCCATCATCCCCTGCAGGCATAAACTAAAAGCTGGAATTGCCTATATTGGAAGTCAATTGCACCGGCAAACTATGCGGCCTATGGCTATGGCCCGCATGGACATTAGTGAAAGGACGTTGTATAACAAGTTAGAAAACTAGAATTCAACTTGTCATAAACATTTTCTGAAATAACCGATGCTGACGTTTTCCACCCCACGATCAACCTGAACACGTGACGGTACCCCCAAATTTTTGTTCCTTCAACAAAAAATTGCAAAGCACTAGAAGCTAGATTGCTTGTGCAACACTTCAAATAAATAATCGCACGACTGTGCCCATCTATACATCCATGAACCACCAAAGGACAACTTCCATTGAATAAGTTTATGGTTCGTATCAATGTGCCATTAGTGATTTGGGGCGGCTATATTATAGATCTTTCTTTGGATGACAACACGTCTCCTTATCGCTCTTCCCACTGGATCAAAAATTGAACGAAGACATTCCCGCGCTCTAAACCTTTGAACTCTTATCTGATGAGTAGCCAGCCCTCCCCGTACATACGATTCCCCAGCAAATGGAGTTTGCTTTAGTATGCTCACAACAGCACTTTTCAGATCAGTATCGGTTATTTCAGAAAATGTTTCTGACAAGTTGAATTGTTTTATGTTGTTATACAACGTCCTTTCACTAATTCCCATGCGGGCCATAGTTCGTGCAATTGACTTCCAATTCATTCCAGTATCTCTTAAAGTCTCTATCTGTTCTTTGGTAAAGATATATTTACAGTTGGTCTTCCTCCAGTGTCGTAATTGCGGGAAAGACTAAACTTGTTTGAGTTTGTTCGTGTTGCTTGTTTTGCAGCCGTGCTCAGGCCTTAAAATATCTTTTACAGGGCCGTCTGACAAAATGTCCGGTGACGTTGAATTTGGGTCGGACATATGTCCGATGACCTTCAGTTCAGTTTTGACTCGGAAATAAGTCTGAATGACACAAATGAATAAACGGTAAATGTTGAAAAGATATTAAATAATTTATTCCTTTCATACTTATTTCCAAGCCAAAATTAACTTGCTTTCCAGAACAGCAGTATTAAAAAAGACTTCGACAACTTAAGCCCGTTTTCCACTTCACCATTTCGCTCGCCGCCCCGCGCTCGACTACGTTAAAACAACATTTCCAGTTGACCTTTTATACAATAGTACTCTGATTTTCCATTTAACATACAAGCCTCTAGTCCTGGGCTTGGGTACATTTTGATTTACGTCGGACAAAGCTACAGTTCGGTCGGACACCATGCAATACACTCGGGTCGGACAAACAATAAACCTCAGTTTTACTTTGGTCAGACAGAATGTCCGGTGGTTTCCTTTCTACGTCGGACAATTTCACGAATGGGTCGGACAATGTCCGTGACCGACCGATATTTTAAGGCCTGGCCGTACTTCATCAAGAAGACTACAGGTATGCAATGCACCGACTCAATTCTCAAATAAAACCTTCACTGACCTGCACTGCAGACACGCGTGTCTGGGGATCAAGACTGACACATGTTTATGTCATGTAAACATGTGTGATTGACTAATTGAGCACTCTTCGCTGACGCATGCGTGAAAAGACTGGGACTGGCCTTCAAGTTTCGCTTCAAATTTCCGATAGCGTTCCAGTAATCCAGTTATATTAGTTTTAATGCCACCCATACACCCATGAACCATAGTCAGACGCCCACAATTATTGATGAAATTTAGACTTCGCTAACGCTTTCCTTTTCCCGGGTGTAAATAGCTGAGCGGAAAAACCCTGTAAAGTTGCAAGCTAAACCCTGTAAAGTTGCAAGAGGAACTTTTCCATGACAGATTTCCTTGTTAAAAGCTGCTGAAATCATCCCCCATAATGGAAAGTACACTTTGGCTGCCACAATATTGCTGACCACTTAATTTTGATTCATCTTTGCGGGGATCTGAGCTTCATATATGAGCTCTCTGATTGGCTGATTCAAAAACGATCTCTACTCTCATTGGCTGAATTTGTTCGACTCACTTGACTATGATGTTTGTGATGTTACTCTGAGTGTATATCCACACCGGGCAAGCTTGAAAAATATGCCTGACCACGGTGGGAATCGAACCTACGACCTTTGGAATACTAGCCCAATGCTCTGCCAACTGAGTTACGCGGTCTGGTCGGTTCGAGTTGGGCTAGTATTCCAAAGGTCGTAGGTTCGATTCCCACCGTGGTCAGGCATATTTTTCAAGCTTGCCCAGTGTGGATATACACTCAGAGTAACATCACAAACATCATATATTCACCTGAGTACATAACACCAGTTGACACAAAAATTCATGATTATTATTGATTGCATTGATGTCGAAGGAACTAGATTCAGTTCCGAAATATCACATACTCGAACCGACCAGACCGCGTATCTCAGTTGGCAGAGCATTGGGCTAGTATTCCAAAGGTCGTAGGTTCGATTCCCACCGTGGTCAGGCATATTTTTCAAGCTTGCCCGGTGTGGATATACAATCAGAGTAACATCACAAACATCATATATTCACCTGAGTACATAACACCAGTTGACACAAAAATTCTTCACTTGACTATGTTGCTTGAGGGCCGGTCCCTAGTCAATGCAATTTTTGATATTGACCTGCTGCAAGAGATCTGTTGAAGTGCCAAATTTTCCACTGTGGGTCATCCCAGCTTTTGAACAAGAAAGATGCGACCATCTGTGCGAGGCTTTATACTGCCTGGTAATACAATGATAAAGTGAAGTAAAATAGAATTCATAATTATTTATGTTAACATATAAAATTATGTCGTGGAGAGAGTCAGTTACAAATACTCCAGCATAAATGGGCCATAGACAGATAGATTTTGTCCCACAGTTGGCATATATGAAAACATTGACTGGTCCTTGATTGACTAGGGTGTGAAACAATTCCATATGGAACAGGGCGTATTTGCCATTAAGAAAACCCTTGAGTGTTCTCGCCAGTCTGGAAAAGAATAGCATGACTGTAAAGAATTTCCAGGAAATGCTTTAATTTCCTGTTTAATGTGTTCATTTGCTGCTCAATTTTGTGATTCTTCATCTATAAAATTTGGTTTCTTTTAGAAATCCTTGGTGACTATCCTTCTGGAACAGAACTTGGTGCGAAAGTACGCCAGGATATTTGGAATTACGATGTTCTGCATGTTTGTTCACTTGGTAAGTTTAGATACAAGCTATATGGTATATACCTCTCTAGCAGATTAGTAGCCTAGCTGAGTTATCTTCTGCACAACTGGTCTAAAGAACATTTTCCACATGGATTCGCCCACACAGGACATGTAAAAGTGTTTTGCCCAGGATGACAGTTGTGGTCCGTTTTTGCGCTCACGTACACCCCATGAAAACATCTTTAAGGCCATTTTCTTGATAGATCTCCAGGGTTTGAAATAGCATCACCAATCAGCGATTGACAAGAAACCGTTTATGATCGGTTGAAATGCAGGGACACCTCTCTCGAATGCTGACGCCTCTCTCTAATGCAGACACCTTTCCTTAATACGGACATCCCTCTAATATTGACACCTCTCTCTCTTTGTCTCCAATGTGTACACCTCGCTCTAATACGGACACTTCTCTAATACAGACCCCCCTCTGATATGGACACCCCTCTACTACCGCTCTCTGATACAGACACCTCTGTCTAATATGGACACTTTGCTGTGTCCCTTCAGTGTCTGTATTAGAGAAGACATATTGTAACTGTATCTCTGATTATATGTGCTGTTGTTGAAACATTTAGCTCTCCTGCAAGACTTTTCTCCAATCAAAGGCGGCTGGAGCACAGCTGCCAGTTTGTGTTCTATTCTATGTCAGTGTTGTGATGGAGTTAGGTTGGAAGCATCCTTAGAATTCAATGAAACATTTCTACCAAATGCTTTGGATAATATGTTGAATTTATCCTTCAAGATACAGGAGGTTTACTTGACCACAGAGGTAAGCCTTTATTAGTATTATTACGATAGATAAATCCAGCTAGTGGTTTAGGAATGTTAAAGATACTCTTAAATTAAGTATCTTTTTAGTGTCTAATGGGATACAGTAAACCCATATATATCTAATTTTAGTGTGCAGTGATAACAAATTTGTGCGATGCTAAAGTGAAAATGTGCAATGATAACAATTGATGTGATAAATTTGTAATTACTGTAATTAAATTCACTAAAACGTTTGAAATTAATTCATATCACTTCATATTTAAGAGTGAATGTCAGTAAAAATCGAACATATGAGACATTGCGCGGCCACGACTGAAAAATCGATTTTGCTCAAATTTTGCCCAGATATACCTTATTATATCAGAAAATGCACCATATATTTTTTTAGGTCAAATGCTTTTTTAACTTTGAGAAAATGCCGTTTTAACACGACCACCCTAAATCGCCATTTTTTCTGGGAAAATATGCGCTGATTTTACAGATAAATTTCACGATGACAACCGTTTCTAATCGATCTAAAACCCTAAAAATCTTGTTTTCGGTTATTGAAAGGACCTGTGTACATGACTTACAGGAAATCTGAGTTACTTTTAGGAATAGAAATAATCGTAGTTTTGGAGCACACTATCTTACTTCATTTACGATACCCTCTTAACAAAATCGATTTTCACCATGCGATAAAGCTCCAAATCGATCATGCTTCTACTAGTTGGCTCTTTAATAAGCAAGCTTTCAATTGACGTAAATACTTCTTTTGGCAAATGAATACGCGATAAACGACAGCGCGTTGAAATCGTCCGTTTTTGACGTCTTGCAAGTCAAACGCTGTTAATTTACATACCGTCGAAGTAAACAATTTAATCAAGTATTTTAAGTAGTTTACCTTTTGAGAAGAAGATATATTCTTGAATGGAGACTTTTTGCCTTGCTTAGTTTAAAATTGGTCCAAAAATCCCGAGATATTTGTAAAATATCATCATATACAGGTATTTTGAAATATAATATTGTTGTCAGTACTGCATGACAACTTCAGATCATTGTTCAATATTGTCTACTTTTAATAGCGCAAACATACAAATCGATGAGCTGTTTAGGGATTTTATATTTGTTACTAAATTTCCCAAAATTAGAACTTCAATTGACAATTGCTGTTTTGTTCCAGTTTGCATTGTCCATATAATATACCATTTAGTATTTACATATCGACTATCGAGTACAAATGTTTACGAATACATAAGTTAATTATTAAGCAGCTGTTAATAGCGTGCGTGTGAAATGAACATTTATCCATACAAGGATTTGTTATTTTATTATATATTCTACCACCTCAAACTCAAATTATAGGCATATAGCAAATACTGTAGTTTAGAATAATGTGTGTTTACTTTGATGCACAGTTAAAATAATCAGTAAAATTACTTTATTTTGATAAACTAATGTCTATTGATCTTAGTATATTTCACAAGTACTAGTACCCAAAAATACAGCATTGAGATATGTTGGCCAAGTGCGACACCACAAATTATTATTGTCTCCCCACACGTCGCGTTTAAAGAAAATGAAAGCTTGTTGCTCGTTTAACGCCGGATTAACCACGTGTCAAATACGGCAAATGCCGTGGGCCTCGCGCTTTACTGTGCTACGCCCATTTTTACGAGAACACGGTCATTTTCTATTGGGACACACCCATTTTAGGTGCCTCGCGAATTTAGGGACCTTGCGCATTTAGGGCCCCTAGGCTTGGCAGTTCGCCCTAGCACGGCCCCGGGAAAATATGCAATACTCGTGTTCATATAATCTCTAGTTGCGTTGAGCTGTTATATTATGATCCTGTTTATACCCACCAACTGCGCCAGGCAGGCCATTATCTCGTTTATAATTGATGCAAATAAATTGAAATATTGAAAAAAATTGTTTAACACTTTTGTGTGTCTTTAAATTGAATGGTTTTCATAAAAAGAAGAAAGGGGGAGGTTTGGGGGCCTCGCGCTAAAATTTGCCACGGGCCTCGCGCGACGTTAATCCGGCCCTGGTCACTTGTCGGTAGTTCTTGCGGTTTTAATGCCAATTGACAAAGATCAAAAGAGAGCACTGATGACTCCCCCCGTCGGAGAAATACTGGCGCAGCCCAAACCAGCTCAGTGAATGTGGGTTTATTATGGGGCCCCAGGGCCAATTATACCCTTGGGGCCCCAGTGAACCACAATTACCCCCCTCCGTCGACAAACTTTTTATCGCCTTGCAAATTTGTATTTGCCTGTCTTCCTTGAGCTGGGGTCGCGGAGAAAATTGCTCCCTTTGCCGCCTCCCTGCATGGGCGGCCCTGGCGCCTCCCTTGTCTTATCATAACTATCTACCCTAATTCAAGCTGATTGGCGCGGCTCGATGAATTAATTGCCGCTTTCAAACAGAGGTTTATTATTTTAAACCTCTAGAACCAGGGTACCTTTTGTCACTCTGAGGCCAGCGAAATAACCTCTTCCGCAACATGCACGTACGCGTCTACTATCGTCAAGAAACAATCAATACGTATAATCGTTGTGGTCTGTGGGATTTTAATTCAATAGTGTAAACCTTGCAGTTTTAGGGAAGCCTCACATATCGATTTTTTCCACAAGAAACGTCATATGTTCGTTTTGGGGGTGGGGGAGGGGGGTTTACAGCTGTGACGTTTCTCTGTAAATATCATGGAAAAGTTCGATAGTTTAATACCTTAACATTTCGGAATCAACTTTGCAGAG